CGCAAATCATGCAGTGTGCTCGCCGATAAATAGATCTCCTCAAGCTTTTTCTAGAACCATAAATATTGATACATCTCCAGCTTTTCGCCAGTCGGTCAGTCTGTTTGAGGAACTAAACCATAGTTGTATTACAAATAGCAATAGCAGTTTCAACCCAAATGTCTCACATTCCTCGACTTTTTTAGGGACAAAATTGTCACAAACAAAACATCCTTCACCAAGAAAATTAAATCATTAACTTTATTATTGCAGAACATCCAATCAGCAAGAAATAAATCCGACGAACTATTCATATTCCTTGAAAGTCAAAATTTTCCTCATTTAGTTTTACTTACGGAACATTGGCTTAAAAATGACGAGCCATTCTTTGTTCCGAACTATCAAGTTGTGTCCCAATTCTGACGATCTGAGTTCTCGCACGGAGGAACTAGTATACTCCTTAACACAGAACTATTATTGGAAACTGATTTCTGCAGCTGTGATAAATTTGATTTCTTGGTTTCTGAAAGGATCTTTGAATTTTCTTTACTTCATTCACGGTCATTGAACTTGTACATTCTTTGCATCTACCGCTCTCCTGACTCTTCTAGCATTGCACGCTTCCTGGAAAACTTCGAAATACTTCTCTCAGATCTTCCGAGTGGGTGCGATCTCGTTGTTGCTGGTGATCTAAACATTGATTTTGGTAACCCGCAAGCGAATTCCGCCATTCTATTACTCAATCTGCTTGAATCATTCAATCTTGAAATGCATGTCAATAAACCAACCAGAATCTCAAATTCAACTTTCACCATCATTGATTATGTGTGTTCAAATCTTGGTGCAAACGTTACGTGTGATGTAATTGATACCTGGCGTATGATGTACAATAATTTATTTGTTACTCATTTGTAAACAATAAATAAAAAATTAATACATAGGTGATACAATTTTAATAAATAATTCTACTGATCCTACTGACTTGTAAAAAGCTTTTACCTACGAGCGTGCGGTAAAGTGCACTTTACCGCACGTTTTTGAAAATGGAAAGTATCACTTTACCGCACACTATGCGGTAAAGTTAACTTTACAGCATAGTGTGCGGTAAAGTTAACTTTACAGCATAGTATGCGGTAAAGTGCACTTTACCGAACACTTTGTAGTCCACTTTACCGCATAGTGTGCGGTAAAGTAGAATTTGATATTTATAATCAAAATTCCTTACTTTTTCAGAAAATGGATTTTTGATCCTTTCTAAATTTAATCTTATTCCATTAATTAATCTGATTCATTAATTAATTTTAACAATGCTTTTTTTGGAGGTGTAGATGCTCATAGGTAAAATTTTGTACCTAACACATGCAGAAAGTGACTTTACCGCCCTTAACGGCTTGACCGAACTCCGCTTCGCGTCGTTCGGTCAACTGCCGTTGCGTGCGGTATCACTTTCCGCATTTGTTAGGTAAATAACTATTACAGTTTAGCTGTCAATTTTACAAGTCAGTAGAGCCAGTAACTGGTGAAAATCAATTTTCGTTGTTTATGTTTTGACTTGATAAATCACGTTTTACAAATGAGTGACAAATAAAATGTTTTACAGGATTTTACCTTTCTGTGATCGTTTGGGATTCTCCAAACTCCATCCATACCAATGAACTATAGTCAAAAACTGGAATGCACACACATTGCCATATCTGCCAAAAAAATGTAGCCATGAAAGACAGATGCCACAAAGGGGAATGTTGTTTTTTTCTGTTGCTCGCTGACATATGACGTTTTGGAAAGTTTTGTCATATTTACCTTCACAGGTTTCATCAATTGGAATACGTGTTGGAAGCAATTTCCGCCATTTAACATAATGAGTGCGACAAAAACAGGTATCCCCTCCGCAGCAGCGGCACTAGGCTTCACGTTCGTCAATATGTGTAAGCATTCCAGTTTTTGGTTATAGTTCATTGCTCCATACCTACTGTAAATCATTGTTCAAGTCTAAATTGCGTTGGATCGAATAAAAGGTTTAACACTATAGCCAATTTTAAGCGATTCACTAGTTGTGGACCAGTCTGTCGTCTTGACAGACAACCAATGCATATAACGTCAGTTAATCAGGCCTATGATCTATCATTTTCTGTTATTTTAGCAGCAACGTTAAGTTGCCTGTCACTGTTTATTCTATACGTCAAAATAGAGAGAAGTATAGATGTTGAGCTATAACATAGCTGTTAAAATAACAGGAGTGGATACATCATAGGCCTGAATATCGTTTATTTACGAGTAATGTATAATGTGCCTATTATATTTGTGATTTTGGCAGTATAATGACATATGTTATTCCTCCAGGGGCCTGTTTCATAAAACTTCCTAATTTTATTAGCTAATAATATTAGTCTAATAAAATAAAATTATTAGCTAGGCTTTTTCTGTTTCATAAAGACTGCATCTCTACTCATAAAATCCAAACACTAATAATATTACCACATTAGTGACGTGTTTTTTTTTAAGTTAAAAATTCACATTGTCAGTCATTACCGCGACTCTCAAAGAACAATCATCCAAAAAACTAGTTTTCAAAAGCAAAACTGATGGTGAATTGGTATTTTTATCATATCCCTCGTCCATCCTTTCACGTAACGAGCGATTTCGTAACTCTTACATCGTATCACTTACACTGCCTGGCAAATTAGACAAACATAATAAAATTTTAAAGATGGACCACATACAAGCATAATGTTTAAGGAATGATTTCCGTGGCGATCGACAAAAAATGCAGGTTCGTGAGCAGAAAGAGCATCTGTTTTAATTAAGGTTCTATCAACTGCTCCACACACCAATGGCATACCAGCAATAACGCTGAATTCGTGAATGACTCTTACAGCATCTTTTGGCCAACAAACAGTTTCTTCAAGTAGAGTACGACTTATGGCCAAAACAACCCTGTGGACAACTCTACACACTCTCGCTTTTGAGATGCCATGAATGTCTCCGGTACAGTGATATTTTGCATGCCACTGCCTAACCAATGAAGTTCTACCATAAGCCGTTGTTTTGGTGTTAGGGTGTTAGCACTGATTTACACACCAAACGATGCTCAATTCGGCCAAGAACGAAATATTTTTTTCTGATGAAAACCTAAATCTTTTATTAAACTCATAAGTTGCATCCATGTATAAATAGGGAGTTCATTTTTTGAAAATTCGTGGTCTCCTCCGAGTCTCCTCAGTCAAACTTCTATTTCTTCATCGCTTGAGTCACTCTAAATTTATTATCAAGTTTTTCTTTGCTTTGCTTTGCAACACAATTGTAGCAAGAAAGAACCTCAAAAAACCATGAGTTTAATTTTTTTCAACGAAGTCGTTGGCTAATAATGATAATATTATAGGCACAGCGCTAATAGATTTTCACAAATATTAGTGTTTTTCAATAGACTCATTTATTTATGAAACTGATGAATTTATTAGTCTAATAGAAATCACTAATATTTTAAGAAGAAAGCTCATAACTAATAATATTACTATTTTTTTTTTTTGAAACCTCAACTCATAATTTTCATTAATAATATTTGCTAAAGAGTAATATTATTAGACTAATATTTTTTATGAAACAGGCCCCAGGGATTAATGATGAGTAGCGGGATTAATGGTCATTATTCCACAAAAGTGTCAGTGTCAAACATGTAGTGCTTGTGGATTTGTATTGAAAATTATGAGACGGATGAAATTTGTTCATTGAAAATCTCAAATAAATTAATTTCTCGTAAATAAAGTAGAGTATACTACTCGCAATAATGGCTATTATTCCCTCGGAATGTTACTCCCTCGCCGCTAACGCGGCTCAGTTCGTAATAATCCTCGGCAATAATAGCTATCATTATTGACTCCTGGTATAATCTACTATAATATCAATCTGTGGTTGATAGTTAATATCATGATATAACAGAAATGGGCAGTCTGCGTTTTGCCGTTTGCCTCTTATTTTAACAGGAGGCTGTCTGTCGGAGAGTGGTGAAATCAGCAAAGAGGCTACACTATAGTCATTGCATTATAATTAAGAAACAAGTCATAGGAAACATGGCTAATTGTTAACAACCGGATAATAGTAATGACAACGGCTTACACCAACTTAATCCCAATAAACTAAGATTTTTACTGTTGCATTGGCTCAAACTTCTTCAAAAATTACCTCTAGTATAAATCTCCTTGCATATCTCACTATATCATATGCATCAAGCACTTTTTTTATGTACCCAACAGATATTGGAGAATTAAAAAATCTATTTTTCAAGATTAGAAACAAGGACACCTCAGGGTGGGACGACATTTCCATGAGAATTTTTTGTGAGATGAATGGATCAGCACTGGAGTCTTTAGTGGATGCAATAAACTATTCATTTATTAATTGACAATATCCAGATTTCCTTACACAAAGGAGGAAATAACTTCACTCCTTCAAATTTCAGACCAATTTCCTTGCTTCCCTTTCCCAAAATTATAGAGAAACTTGAAATGGAGTTGTCTCCTTTTTATTGAAAAAAAAAATCTTAAAACCTGAACAGTTTGACTATCAAAATGACAAAAGCACAACTGATGCACTTTTTTTTCTCAGAGAAATTATATGTAACCCTTAATAATAGGGTTTTTCTGCGACCGGACCAAGGCCTTTGATTGTGTCAGTCACGGAAATCTACTACCAAAGGTAGAAGTTTACAGGTTTTGAGGTGTTGCCCTTAACTGGTTTAGATCCTATCTGTTGGAAAGAACTCAGACCACCACTGGTAGTTCAGCCATATTCAGGAACATAGCACATAGCTGCTAATTTTTTCAACTTTTGGCTCCCAACTTCACACCAGTAAAATAATAATTATTATGAGTAATTCTTCCACAATCTGAGTTTCTTTTATTTATCCATACCATAAAGTCAATTCACCTTGGTTAACCATAGCCAATCAGTTTATATGTATAGCATTCTTTTGAACTTATTTTATATTGTATTTATAATGGTGATTAAATTTTTACAATTTTCAGCCCCAATATGGTTTTTATTCCAATGAACCTCTTCCATTCCGCTTCGCCTCAGGCGGCGGTCGCGAATTACACTTCATCGAAGAAAAAGAAGTCGACTTGGGCGATTTACTCAACAACCTAAACCCGAAAGCACCACTAGAAGTCAGTCTTAGATCTCATTGGCTTTGTATCGATGGCATCCAACCGACAATACCGGAAAATCCACCTCCAGTAGCTAAAGCTGTTCAGAAACTCGAATCGGTGGATCCGATCAATAAAAAACCAATGAAAGAAACTGCAGGCAAACCGAGTACTGGAAAACAAAAATTGAAAAACGTAGAAACTGTACAAATTAAACAGCTAGCTACGCACGAATTGTCAGTGGAACAACAATTGTATTATAAAGAAATTACTGAGGCTTGTGTTGGTTCTGATGAAGCAAGAAGAGCGGTAAATATTAAAACTGATTTGTGGTGATATTTTAAATTGAATTATTTTCAGGAAGCTCTACAAAGTTTATCATCAGATCCAGGCCTACATGAAATGTTGCCGCGTATGTGCACCTTTATAATAGAAGGTGTAAGGGTTAATGTTGTCCAGAACAATTTAGCCTTATTGATTTACCTTATGAGGATGGTAAAGGCGTTACTTGATAATCAGTCTTTGTATTTAGAAAAATATGTAAGTATTGCTGTAGTTACATATTGATTCTTAGTGTAAGCTATTTTTTGTAGTTGCATGAATTAATTCCATCAGTTACCACTTGCATAGTGTCAAAACAGCTTTGCATGAGACCGGAACTGGACAACCATTGGGCCCTTAGAGATTTCGCATCGAGACTAATGTCGCAAATTTGCAAAAATTTCAATACCAGTACGAATAATATTCAGACCAGAATAACCAGGATGTTCACCAATGCGTTGTCGAATGACAAAATTGCTTTGTCTTCGCTTTATGGTGCTTTGCAAGGATTATCAGAGTTGGGACCTGAAGTTACTAGGATATTTATTCTACCTAGAATACGAATGATTGGTGAGTAACCAGCAAAATTTACAGTTTAGATCCTTTTCATTTAAATTGCCTTCATTGAAGACCAAAATTGTCCACCTACCAATCAATAGCGGCAAGAGAAATTTGATTTTGTATATATTTATTTCCTACAGTGAATTTTCTACAAAAAGTCAGTGTTGGCATTATGTTCAATTAACCAGATGAGCAGATCAATAGTTCTAAATTATGTCATACATGAAGGATCGTCAGCTTGTATTTCAATTTCCAATTTGTTTTGAGAATATATTTTATTTAAAAAAAAATTTTGACCCCGACGTGATTTGAACACGCAACCTTCTGATCTGGAGTCAGACGCGCTACCGTTGCGCCACGGAGTCATATCTATATACATACGAATTGACTTATTAAAGTATAATTTTATCACAAATTAATAGATTCCAATTATTTTTAATTGTAGCTACAATTAATATGTAAATATCCCGTTTATAATACCAGTTCCAACCATAAAATGTTATAATTTATTAAGCAAGGTTTCTTCATTTTTCTGCAAACATTAGATTATGCGAGAGCGAGGTCAAGCCGAAGTTCTTCAACTTCACCTCTTGAAGCCAAAAAAGTTCCCCTTTCAATAAAAATTGTTTTTTGGCAGACTGAAGTCATCATTTTATTATTCAGATTACAAAGTACAACACACTGAATGAGTTTGCTGACGTCCATATTTGCACAGTCAGCAAGTTAAAAAATAAATAAGTTATTTGGTAGTCTGCACTGCTAAACAAGTCCGGGAGTACCTATGCAAGTTTGGTTTGGCCTCCCTGTTATGAAAAACATAAATACCAATTGAAGACGGTGCAATGAAGATTCTTGAAATAACTGGATGTTTAATTAGAACAATTAAACAGTGATTAACCTTCGCTGGCGTAATTTGACCGACTTCGTATATTTATATTTTATTCGATATCACGGTCAGCTTGCTATATGAGATTTTAGTTAGTCACAATGTTTGGGTAATATAAAAATATCCACACAATGTAAGTTTTTGCAGTTTTTGTCACGATTAGTTTACCAAAATTCAATATAAAAAGGGATGTAAGATTCGGAATAAATCAGTATTCATCTAGCTTCAAAAGGTGTTTTACTCAAATCGTTTCCTGTGCCCAAGCCTTCTTGGACAACACAGAGAGTGAGGCTGCTCTTTGACAGAAAACTATACAATCGTCCCGCTGCTCAACCAAGCCGTGTTGGGCAAGCTTAATCTGTGAGCACAGCTTACACATTGGTCCTTCGAGCCTAAAACCAGTCCAGAAGACTCGCTGTCCGTCCACAACGTCCGTCCATACAGCCAGTCCAGAAGACTCGCCGTCCGTCCATAACGTCCGTCCATACAGCCAGTCCAGAAAACTCGCCGTCCGTCCACAACGTCCGTCCATACAGCCAGTCCAGAAGACTCGCCGTCCGTCCACAACGTTCGTCCATACAGACAGTCCAGAAAATTCGCCATCCTTCCACAACGTCATTCCATACAACCGTTCGTATGTCTAGAATAAATAGTCTCAAATAGTCTCCAAAACAATCCAGTCACCTGTCAAACACAGTCATGGCAGAAAAGGAGGAACTCGACCGTCTCGCACGAGAACAAGAAAAATTACGTCATCCATGAAAATTCAGCGTTGAACCAAGCCGACAAGATGCACTACTTAAAAACTTATACCAGGGGAGAAGCAAGCAAGCTAATCCAACACTTATAGTATAGGAGCTGGCAGGTTTTTCGGTGAACGTTATTGATCAAAATTTTTATTAATTAACCATGATTGAGGGTTACCTGGACATACCAAAACTGACCGTCTGCCGTTTCAGGGTGGCAGCTTTAATCGGGGGTTAAATTTTAAAAAGGGATGAATTTACATTTTGGTGAACGATATTGATCAAGATCGAAATTTTCGGAAACGAATTAACAGTTTGAGGACTAATCAATATTACACAGGCAGGTGCAGGCAGACGATTTGTTTGACAGCAACATACTCTCAGAAAAAATATCGGTAGACGAAAAAGACGGCAGCGTTTTTCTGGCAGACGCTGGAATAATGACAAGTTGATTTATGGTAAACAATACTGATAATAGCTGATATTCATGAAAGCGTTAGAGCAGCTCTAGTGTATTCAAAATTCAAATAGGCAGAAGATTTATTTGACAGCACAATTTTGGCAGACACTATCAAATTTTGCCATATACAGGGTGTCCCAGCCGAGAGTGACCCATTTGAAATGCTTATAACTTCTAAATTAGTTGTGCTAGCGACCTGCGGTTTGCGCCATTCGACTTCTCCTGGCCTAAAGTTTTTTTTAGTAGGTTACAAATTTTTTTGCCTCTCATACAGTGCGAGTCAAAAAAATCCGTTTTTCAACGTCGAAATTCTCCACTATTTTTAATACAACACCCTGTATATCACAACGTCAAAAAAAAGAGTCATGCTAAAGGTTACCATGTACCAATAAGCATCATCCTTGAAACTTAAAGTTTTAGCCGTAAAAAATTGAAATCTAAATCCTGGTATTTTAGCATAAGCATGGCAGCTTCATGTTGTAGGTAAAGTTTGTTTCGCCAGGGTTTGTACTTGCCACCAGCATTCTGCCTTCCTTGTTTAACAAATCAAAATTGACTGAAACAAATCAATGTCGTCAAAAACGTTCGTCGGTTCTTAAATCATTTTAATTTGTCAAAAAAATTGAATGTGTCATATGAATTAATCTACGACAACCCTTTTTTTTTCAAGTTTCAAGGTCAAGTATGAACCCTGGTGAAACGGACCTTATGTACTTGCTATCAATATGGCAAACAATTTTTAAATGTGTGTGTAGTTGGACATCAACTAAGTTGAAATAAATTTTCCACGAGAACTTAACAAGTTCCAGTGAGAATAGCGAGATACCCCAAAAGTAACAGTTTGGCGTGGAATCTTTGTTGAGAAAAAATACAGAAATAACATCTGTAAATAAGTGGTTTAAATTAATACAATTAAATATAGTCAAACATTTATAAACTTAATAATAAATAAATTTTGACTTAACATTTAACAATATTATTAAATAACGCGATTTAATTTTTTTTTAACTACGTTTTTCAAACTGACTTCTTATTACACTAGGTCTACAAATTCTTAGTAGTATTTATTGCGTAAAGTAACTTTTTTTTATTAATTTTCACCTGATAAACATCATAATGATAAAAATATTTTAAAATTAGTTTTAGTTTTGTAGATGTGAATGTAAAGAGTGGATTTTCAGGGACATGTTGCAACCTAGTTCTTGATACGATTGTAACATCTTTCCAATTAGTTCAGCATAGTTGTCGGTCCTCTTATTTCCTAAGAAGTTTTTTGCCACAAGACGAAAGTCTTCCCAGGCATTTTTTTCTTTACCTTCCAAAACACAGTCAAAATTATTATCTTTAAATAGTGTTCTAATTTGAGGACCGATAAATATACCTTCCTTGATCTTCGCTTCACTTAATCTTGGAAATTTCTGAAGAAGGTATTGAAAAGCAGCTCCATTTTTGTTCATTGCTTTTACGAAATTTGTCATAAGCCCTAGTTTAATATGCAACGGTGGCAATAATACTATTTGTGGGTCAACTAAAGGGTCATTTTTTTGCCCAGGTTGAAGTGACTGACGATGACGCCTGACCTTTTTTATGTAATGCACATTTCTATCTCGACTATCTCATTCGCAGATAAAACAACAAAATTTCGTGTAGCCCATTTGTAGACCAAGCAGAAGAGCTACGACTTTCAAATCTCCACAGATTTGCCATCGATATTCATCATACTTAATCCGCAACAAAAGGCTTTTCATATTTTCATAAGACTCTTTCATATGGACTATGGACTGCGTTACCAAAAGGAATCGACGGTAAAATATTTCCGTTATGTAGCAAAACAGCTTTTAAACTTAGCTTAGAGCTATCTATGGAGAGTCTTCATCCGTTTTGTACATAGATAATATTAAGTGCTCTCATCAAACCACTGACATCTTTACAAAAAACTAAAGTATCCACAATAGCAAAATATTGCATCAACTCTTTTTGTCTAGTACGGAAAGAACTTACGGTCTAGAAATTCTGTTTTGCTCTTTGGCAATGCTTAGTCCCTTACGAGATCGTTTAACTCAGCTTGCGTTATCTTGTGTGGCTGTGATGATGTACTAGGTGCCTTGAAATCTGACATTGATAAAGTTAATGGTGAACTGTCTGCGCTTTCATCTTCTTCGTCGTTGCCAATGTTAGGACGCTCCGGGATTGAGTGAATATTGCTGTGCGGCAGAGGACGAGTAGCCGTTGGTACATTTGGATATAAGGTACTATTGCTAGGGATGGCAGTGTTTGCCAAAGTGATAGCAAGTACAGTACATACCTACAACATGAAGTTGCCATGCTTATGCTAAAATACCAGGATTTAGATTTCAATTTTTTACGGCTAAAACTTTAAGTTTCAAGGATGATGCTTATTTGTACATGGATACCTTTAGCATGACTCTTTTTTTTGACGTTGTGATATACAGGGTGTTGTATCAAAGATAGTGGAGAATTTCGATGTTGAAAAACGGATTTTTTTTACTCGCCCTGTATGAGAGGCAAGAACATTTGTAACCTACTAAAAAAAACTTTAGGCCAGGAGAAGTCGAATGGCGCAAACCGCAGGTCGCTAGCACAACTAGTTTAGAAGTTATAAGCATTTCAAATGGGTCACTCTCGGCTGGGACACCCTGTATATGACAAAATTTGATAGTGTCTGCCAAAACTGTGCTGTCAAATAAATCTTCTACCTATTTGAATTTTGAATACACTAGAGCTGCTCTAACGCTTTCATGAATATCAGCTATTATCAGTATTGTTCACCATAAATCAACTTGTCATTATTTCAGCGTCTGCCAAAAAAACGCTGGCGTCTTTTTCGTCTGCCGATATTTTTTCTGAGAGTACGTTAGTAAAGGAATCGATTTGCAAAAAAACAAAATTTGATAAA